TGAAATATGATTAAGAAGTCCTTTCACCTCTGTTGCCATAACTCCAAATTAGCAGAAAGACATATTCTGACATCCTGGTGTTCTTACGTATTTCTTTCTAATGAGTTTTTCCTGTAGGAAGGAGATAGTGATATGTAGGTTCCAGGATTCTCTGGTCATGATAGTGTTCATATTACTGTTTCAGAAATGAGAGTGGGTATCTTAAAAGTTTTACTCTCTTATTATTGCTATGGAAATAGTGAAAAGAAATAGTATATTACTTATGTTTAAGAAATGACCCAGAGAGTAGACAGTTGCAACAATTGAGTTTCATACTTTTTCTTTCTTTTTTGTATTCTTTGGCATTTAAAAATTTAGATCAGAACTGTCATTACTCAGAAATAGAGCAAATATTATTAGAAACCACTTAAATATTTATAAGAAAGGGAAAGAGTAGGGCTCATGCCTGTAATCTAGCACCTCAGGAGGCTGAGATCTGAGTATCAAGGTTAAAAGCCAGCCCTGCAGGAAAGTCCATGAGACGCTTAGCTCAAAAACAAAACAAAACAAAACAAAAAACAGGAGTGGAGCTGTGGCTCAAGTTGTAGAGTGCTAACCTTGAGCAAGAAAAGCCCAGGGACAGCACCTATGCCTTGAGTTCAAGCCCAGGTCCGGCACAAAAAAAAGAAAAAGAAAAAAGAAAGACTTAATAGTTTCAAATCTATAAAACAGACCAGGAGAAGGTAATTACGTATTTATTTTCATTTCTCTACAGTATATACCTAGAAATGTGATGTCTGTCATATAAGTGTTGTTTTAGGAAAATGCCCACTCTTTCAAGGTGACTATTTTTGTTACATTCCCACCAGTAATGTATGAGGGCTCAGTGTTTTCATATCCTGTCAGTACTTGTTTTTGGCTGTCTTTTGACTATAACCAGCCTAGTGAGAGTGAAGTAATAGTTCATCATGATTTTGATTTTCATTTTTATGGTAGTTAATCGTATCTTTTCATATGCTTATTAGGCAGTTCTTTGTCTTTGGGTATCTATTCAAATCTTTTTCTTTTTTTAAATTAAGGTTTTTATTGTGAAAATACTGTACAAAGGGGTTACAGTTACATAAGCAAGGTTATTCAAATCTTTTTCTACTTTTAAATTAGGTGGCTTGCCATTTTGCTGTTGAATATACAGTATACTGCCTGTTATTTTGTAAATACAATTTCACAGGACCATCATGTTCATTTGTTTGTAATTATCTGTAACTACTTTTGTACTATAATGTGAGAGTAAATTGGCTATGGTAAAGGGTTGTATTTTGTAAGACCTAAAGTAGTGTTAATTTGCTCTATCACAAAAAGCTTACTAATACCTTGAAGAGACATTTTTGTAGCCATTCAAACAAGATTAAAGATACAGGAGATCTATTAGAATGAAAATCACACAAAGTACTACTTACCATATGATTTCAACTTTGTAAACTTTATAAATATTTATGTATAAAAAAGACATTAATCAGAAATACTAAATATTAATAGTGATTTTGGGATTATTGGTTTATATTAAAACTAGCTGCTTTAAGAAGAAAATTATATTGTAGAATGTTACATTATAGAGTTTGTGCAGAAGCACTTTGACACATTGGAGATGTATATTGGAGTGCATCTGGAGAACCGAGAGGAAGGAAAAAGACAAAATAGTCAACCGAGAGGGAATAAAGAATTTAGGTATGCAAATTCTGAGAGAATATATTCATTATTAGCTCTGGAAGTAAAGAGGAGGTATTATTGTAAAACTCTTATTTGTATTTATATGTATATGATATATAAACAATGATGAATGAAGAATGGAATGGAAAGAAGATGGGAGAAAAGTGGGTATGGGAAATCTAGGATTAGGATAATGGTGAGGAAGAACAGGAAAATTTATGCTCAGAAATGTGCCTTATGATTTGTCTTTGCCTTTGTATGTTAAACTTTTATTGCTTGTTTTTTTTCCAGTCAACTTAACTTTCTCTTGGAACCAGTTTGTCAAGTATATAAGCTACAGAAACTTACTATAAATTTTATTTTTCTAGGCTCGTGTTGATTGGTTCACATTATTTAATCTAAGAAATATGCTTATTTTTAAATCAAGTAAACTTCTTTAATACAATGGTAACAAGTTTGTGTAATAACCCAGTATGGTTTTACTACAATAGGTATCATATAGGAGAATATTTTAAATAAAGAAGATTTCATTTGACATTATTTATGGATAATTGATATTAAGAGCTTCAGAAAGCTAAGTATTGAATATAATTGAAGGAAGTATGGTTATAACATAATTGAATGATTTTTTAAATACATGTTTTACTTGTGTCATTCACTATAATTTTAGAAAGTATTTCACTGTCATTAAAATCTTAATTTTCTTAAATGTCATTAGAAAATTTTAGTGTATATTCTCTATTTATAAATAAGAACCAATATATTTTTCTTCCTCATTTACATAAGATCTTTGGAGTTGATGTCTCATACTTTTATGTAGTCATTGGAAGAAAGTAAAAATGAAGGAAAATAATTATGTTGAAAGTAGAGATTGAATATCTTTTTTCTCTATTGTAAATAGAAATGAATGGTTATGATTGTGTGTGTGTGTATGTGTGTATGTATGTATGTATGTATGTATGTATGTATAATGGAGTTTGAACTCAGGGCCTTACACTTTCACTTGGCTTTTTGGCTCAAAGCTGGTACTCTACTATTTGAGCCACTACTTAGCACCTAGGTTTTTGCTGGTTAAAATAAGAGTCTCACCAACTTTTCTGCCCAGGCTGGCTTTGACCCACCAACTTCAGATCTCAGCCTTCAGAGTAACTAGGATTATAGGCATGAGCCACCAGCAACTAAGCCAATTTTACAAATTTTAAATGTTACTGACTCCTTTAGTGACTTGAAAGGGGTTTGACTAAGATATTTTCTGATATTGGTAAATTCTATTTTTTTTGAAAATTTTAGTGAATTAAATAGTACTGTATCATTAAACATAACAGATATAACTTGAAGCACTATAGTTTTTCTTCTAAATTTGTTAGAATGTTTGTGGATTAAATTAACTATTGACCTATAGTAAGTGAATTGTTTTTATAAAATTTTCAGTATAAGTGACTGAATATTTATAAAAAGAGTTTTGAAACATGCATGCTAAGATTATAAATTTATTTTATTAAATAAAAAGAAAAGCTGTCTCGAGATAACCTAAATTTTAAGTTTTCACTTTACACTTTTTTTATGATGAGGTTGATATTGTTACTAGCTTTTGTTATATTCATATATGAATGTGTCTTATATTGTAAATAATATTAATTTTATAGATTCTAAGTTCAAGGATGATTGCTAATGTTTATTTTTTGGTTTATGTACTTAATCTTTCTTTCCATGTATGTAATAAACGATAGAGATATTTTTAATGATTAACATCTGAGTGTTAATAGCTGATTTCCTTTGAATAGCCATCTGTTATTTTCTCAGTGCCATTGCTATTTAAAGTTTCCTTCCAAAAAGGGACAGTGATCAAGTCATTTCTCTGTGTTGATAATTACCATAATGAATTATTGGATATTTTTCTGATTCCCTATTGCCCGTGGTCCCTTTATTGCTTTGTATCTTTATGAATAGATTCTTTGTGTTCTATTTATTTGAAATGTTTCTAAAAGGGTGAATTGATGTTAGTGCTATGTTAGGAAAAACTATATGGGAAGAAATATTTATTTAAAAATATCATTTGGTGAAGAAAAGGATGGGAAATACAGTAATAATATTCAGTACATATATGTAAAATGGAACTAGGAAAATTGAAGGAATGGGTGGGCTTCGGAAAAATGCAGGTGATATGAAAGGGGCGACATTGATTAAGATGTGTTGTACTTATAAAGATAGTAAACAGGGGCTGGGAAAGTGGCTCAGTGGTAGATTGCTTGCCTTACATGCATGAGGCCCTGAGTTCAATTCCTCAGCACCACATAAGCAGAAAAAGCCAGAAATGGTGCTGTGGCTCAAGTGGTAGAGCACTAGCCTTGAAGAGCTGAGGGGCAGTGCCCAGGCTCAGAGTTCAGGCCCCATGACCAACCCCCCCCCCAAAAAAAAGGATAATAAACAGATAATTTTAAAAAGTTAAATTTTTTTAAAAAGTATTCATTTTAAGGAGATATCTAATTATATAAAAATTATTTTGTATGCCTTGCTGTTGTATTGAATTAACAAGTTTCTTGAAGTTTGTTCTTTTTGAGAAAGAGTACTAGATAATTTCATAAATTTCAGCAGTCACTGCTTTTCATAAACATTCTATATGGTATTTTATATGGTGATACTTCCATATGACTAGTTATTTCTAATGGTCCTTTGTTCCTTTGGCTTGAACTCAGTGCCAGGGTGCTGTTCTTGAGCTTTTTTGTTAAGCTAGTACTCTATCGCTTGAGCCATAGCTTCACTTCTTTTTTTGGCGATTAATTGGAAATAAGATTCTTTCCTACTTTCCTGCCTGGCCTGGCTTCTAATAACTATCCTCAGACCTCAGGCTTCTGAACAGCTAGGACTTTAGACATGAGCCATTGGTACCCTACCCATAATCATGTTTTTAAGTGCTAGTATTATAAATTGAATTATAAGTAAAGAATGTGGAAAATTCAGAATGGATGCAGAAGAAACTGAGATGTTTAAAATACAAACAGAAACATCTGATCCCTTATGTATTCTTACATCTGTGCTTAGTATATGATGTACCTGTAGTCAAACTTATTTCAGATAGAACTAGGAAACTATTAAGAGTTTAATAGTACTTTAAAGCTTTGGTGTATAAATGATATCATTAGAAGAATAAGGAAGTATATTTGGTATACTTTGGGTCTAATGAAGTAGAATCTAAGATGTAAAATAAATTAATAAACATAATCTGAATTTCTGTGATAATCATTCTATCAGTCATTAAAACTTATTTTCTTTAAAGAATGTTCATAATGCTTTTATAATGTGTTTTCTACAAGGTCAAAGGAAATAGACTGGCAACCTTATTTTACAACACGCATTGTAGATGATTTTGGCACACACCTGCGAGTATTCAGAAAGGCTCAACAGAAAGTAACAGAGAAAGATGATCAAGTAAAAGGTAATACTTCCATTCTGTGTGAAACAGGATTTAAAAAATATGTTGTATCACTTTGTGTATCATTAATTATTTCTTAATTATTTCTTTTTCCAGGTACAGCTGAAGACCTTGTAGATACCTTCTTTGAAGTTGAAGTTGAAATGGAGAAGGAAGTTTGCCGTGACCTAGTGTGCACTTCTCCCAAAGATGAAGAAGGTTTTCTTTTTAATATAACTCTTTTGAGAACAGTAACAGGTTAAACACAAAATAGCAGAACAGATCTAAAGGGAAATTATTCTTACACAAGACAGATAACATAGTGAAGACATTATTCGTTTTACTTTTAACTCAAAGTTTCTACGTTCTTTTTTTTAACTATACAAAGAGAACACTTTATAATTAAGCACATCACAAAGTATTTCTTTTTTCCTTGAACTTACTAGTTTTGCTTTAGGAGTCTAAGAGAATGATTAAATGATTTTAAATAAAATATATAGATTCCAGTGGACATTGACTTGTCTTTTCTTTTTAAAAAGTTAGCAGGTTTCAGTCAAGGCTCTTCAGTTTTTTTGTTGTTTGTTTTGCCAGTCTTTGGGCTTGAACTAGGTAGGCCTGGGCACTGTCCCTGATCTTCTTTTTTTTTTTTCGTTTTCTTTTTTTTTTTCTCAAGGCTAGTGCTCTACCACTTGAGCCACAACATTTCTTCTGGCTTTTTCTGTGATTCATTGGAGATAAGAGTCTCATGGACTTTCCTGCTCTGGGCTGGCTTGGAACCATGATCTTCAAATCGTAGCCTCCTGAGTAGCAAGGATTATAGGTGTGAGCCACTAGCATCTGGATAGAAGCTCTTCAATTTTATATTACATCTTTTCTAATTTTGAAAAAGTGCTGAACTTTCTTTTTTGATATTCTTTTCTCATTTTACATTTTATTATAAAATTTAGTTGCTTTGTTGTTGTTACCTGTGCTTACTTACAGTGGAACTTGAAACAAGGTCCTCATACTGTTATTCTTCAGCTTGCTTTATGGTTAGCAAGCTGTATCACTCGAGCCATGCCTCCAGTCCAGCATTTTGCATGTTATTTGGAAACGATGTCTCAAGGGCTTTTCTTTCCTGGTTGGCTTCAAATCATGATAGTCTAGGTCTCAGCCTCCAGCATAGTTAGAATTACAGTGTAAGCCACTAGTGCCTGGCTAAAATTCAATTTTTAATTGCTGCTTTATTTTCATTATTATTAAATTATAGTTTAAGAAGTAAATATAAAGATGTGCAGTACTTTTATGTTATGTTACATCATCTTTTATCAATAGAATAAAAGAAAGGTACTCTTTCTTTGTTCTTTCCTGCAGAGGTAGATTCTTTTTTTTTTGTTCCCCCTTGAAAAAGATTCAGTTTTCAGTGCACGAATAACTTCTAAATATGCAAAGTTAATTAATACATGGTAAATGTAGAAAATACATGGAATATCTACATGTGTTTTGGAGAAAAATGTAATCAGAATTTGTCATTATTCAAACACTGGTTAAAACTTAGAAAAATTTAAAAAGTATTAGTAATTTGATTAGTGAATAATAGCTACTTAGAAAACTGTGGAGTAATTTTTATTGAATGTATTGATTACTAAAATAATAAGCTATGTAACCAGGGAATAAATTATTCCTAACATTTTTCTGTTTCTTAGGAGTAAGTGAGTATTCGATTTTCTTAACTTATTACAGCTACTTTCTCTGTTTTCAGCGTTCCTAAGAGATTTGTGTGAGGTCTTATTATATTTATTGCTACCTCCTGGAGATTTCCAGAACAAGATCATGCGCTATTTTGTCAGGGTAAGTATAAACTTATACTAGATAATGACTATATTAAAAGTAGTAGGTAGTTCTCACAGTTTTCAGCCTTAAGACCCTGAGGAACTCTTAAAATTTGTTGAAGACCTCAAAGAGCTTTTGTTTCTTTAGATTCTCTTTGTAATATATATGTATTAAAAGAAAAAGGCACAAGATTATTTATGCATATATTCCATTAGTTGATAGATATATGATATCATACCATCATGTTCCTTTTTAAAAAGTCTTACTATTAGCTTGTGAGAGAAATATGGTTTGACTCAGTTAATTGATCTGAGAGGATCTTGGAGGACTTTTTTTTCCCTCAGAGATTTCTGGTTTATAATTTAAGAACCATCTGACTTAAGTTAGTTGCTTGGATTTTTTGGTTTTAACAAAAGTATACTTAAAAAAATTTCATTAGTACTAAAAATTTAGATAAATTAGGCTAGATAAAGTAAAATCTCTGAACAGAAACTTCAAACTAAAACCTACGCAGCCAAGATTGTGCTTTTTACACCAGAATATAAGTTTATTAAAAGTAGTAATCTTGAATTCTGTTCTTTTAGTGTTTACCTTTTAGAGTACAACTGTGTGTAAATGTAAAAGAGTAAATTTAAATTTGGCTGCTTGTTATGGTTGAGAAATGCTGTCTGTTTGTCTTTATCTTGGTTGAATGGATAAAATAAAAAAAGTTATTTAACATTGAAAGCTTGTCATTTTTGTAGTCTTTCTTCCTATAGTGGATACCAATTCCCAGTTTGCTTTTATGTATGTTATCACACACAATTTTCTAACATTTACCTATCTTGAATTAGTGTACTTCTCATTAGGTTAATGGCAGTTAAGTGAAATAAGTAGAAATTGCTTTGTTTTTATATAGTGCTATATTAACTATAGTCATTATCAAAGGTGGTAATACCTGGTGTGTCTACCATTAGGTTTGCATCTACTATATGCTTGGCTGCTTCTGCTTCTGCTAAACTGTTCCAAGTTTTTCCATAAGCATTCCTCTTGCTCATTCATTCTTGTGGCTTTAAACACTATCGATATACTAATGAGTTTTAAGTTTAAAACCTTAGTTCAAACTTTCCTTCTGAACTCTAGGCTACTGTGATTAGATATTAGGTGTCTCCTTGAGATTACTACTTGAAATTGTAACTTTTAAATGTCCAAAATTGAAATAATATTGCCTGTATAACTTTTCTGTCTTTTCTGCATCTTTGTGAGTAATGTGACCATTGAGTGAAATGTTTAAATCCGGAGTCCTTCTAGAGGCTTAGAAAGCCCTATGTGATAGAGCTTTTATCTTTCTAGCCTTTAGGAATGCCATGTAAGCTGGGTGCTGGTGGATCATGCCAATAATCCTAGCTTCTTGGCAGAGTGAGATCTGAGTATCAGAGTTCAAAGCCAGCCCTGGCAAGAAAGTCCATGAGACTTTTTTTTTTTGGTCGGTCGTTGGACTTGAACTCTGGGCTTGGGTGCTGTCCCTCAGCTCTTCAGCTTAAGGCTAGCGCTCTACCACTTGAGCTACCACTTGAGCCACAGCGCCACTTCCAGTTTTCTGAGTGGCTTATTGAAGATAAGAGTCTCAGAGACTTTCCTGCTCGGGATGGCTTTGAACCTCGATCTTCAGATCTCAGCTTCCTGAGTAGCTAGGATTAAAGGCATGAGCTACCAGCGCCTGGCTTCCATGAAACTCTTATCTCCAAAAAATTACTCAGGACAAGTTGAAAGCAGCACTGTGGCTGAAGTGGTAGAACACTATTCTTGAGCACAAAGAAGTTCAAGGACAGTGCCCAGGTCCTGAGTTCAAGTCCCAGGACCAGCAAGGGGAAAAAAGAGAGACAGAGACAGAATCAGACAGAGAAACAGAGCCAGAGAGAGAGAGAGAGAGAGAGAGAATGAATGTCATAGAGTATCAGATTAATCTAGAGTTGCATAATGGTTAAAATGATAGAAGATTTTTATTTCAGAAACAGTTCTAGTGAAAGAAATGAAACTTTAGTATAGATCTAGGCTTGATTTGGAATTCAGTAACAATTACAGATTATAGCGCAGGAACAGGGTAAATGTAAAGCTACTAGGAGGCATGTGAAGGAGAGACTACTAAAAAAAGTTAATACTTACCCCTCAGTAGATGAATGGATCAAGAAAATGTGGTATATATACACAATGGAATTCTATGCCCCCATCAGAAAGAATGACATTGCCCCATTTGTTAGGAAATGGAAAAACTTGGAAAAAATTATATTAAGTGAAGTAAGCCAGGCCCAAAGAAACATAGGTCCCATGGTTTCCCTTATATGCAATATCTAGTATATGTATGAGTCAAGCGGAAAAGGTCAGATAATGTGATGTCAGGAAAATGAACCCTTAGGTATGTATTTTAATGTTTTTTTCTTTCATGCATGTGTTTGTAACGCATTTATAAGATTATCTCTTTGCTGCTTTGTATGTCCCTCCCCCACAGTATAACCCCTGCTTTCACTATATTTGATGTCAGTATAACTTGTGGAGGAGATGGGGAAAAACCAGTTGTTTAAGGATACAGGTGGACCTGTTGCAACAATGAGAAGTGCAAGTTGTCATGTCCGAAATGAGCTTTACAATGTCGGTGGGGGGTGGTGGGGGGAGGGGGGAACGAGAAGGATTGGGATTGGGGAGGAGTGGGGAGGCTGAGAAGGGATGGGAAGGGTAAACAAAGGAGGAGGCTGCAATGCTTGGTAAGAAATGTACGCATTATCCTGCCCATGTAATTGTAACCCCTCTGTACAGTATGTTCACAAATAAAATTAAATTAAAAAAAAGTTAATACTAATCTTGTGAAAAGTAGACCAGAGTGATGAGATATTAAGAGTGGGGATGAACAACTTGATCACATAGAGGCTTTGAGAGTTTTGGCTAGAGATAATTTGACAGGATTCATGCTAAAATATGTCATGCAATGAGAAGCCAAATGTGGAAGGTCCAAGCCTAAATGGGAGGAGGCCTTAGAGTGGCTCTAAAGTTTGGTCTTTGTAAGTAGTTACTTATTATAAAGCCACCCTAATTTTCTACCCCAAGCCAGTTTCCTCCTACTTACTACAGAGCTGTCTCATTACTTTACCTTTAGCTTAGAATGTTTCTTCCTTTTTTTTTTTTGTGAGATAGTAGTCATTTCTCTTATGATACTAACATCATTTCCTCAGAGATTCCTTCCTTACCTCTAAGTCATAAACTCCTTTATAATTCCATATTTCTGTGAATGCTACCCAGTTTTTTTCTTTCATAGCATTTGCCCTATTTAAAGTGAAAATTTTGTTCTTATGTTTAATTACTTGATAACTTTCTTTAAAATGCATTACAAATTCCTTGAGGGTAGGGTATATGTATATTATCATTATATACCTAGTGGCTAACATAGTACCTGGCTCATAGCAAGTACTAAATCAGAGAGGCTCAGTTGTAATTCTGGAGGGACAAACCCATTGGCCTGCTTACTAGTTGTTATGCAGATGTTACTGTAACTCTTAAAGAATTAATCTGACTCTCAAGAGCCATGAACGAAGAACTAGCTTGTTACATGAACTGTTTAAAATAAGTAGGAATATAATGAGCAATTTTTTCAAGTCTATTTGAATATTGAGTGCTACATTCAGTAGATCAGTTTTTGTTTTTCTCAGTTGATACTTCTTGATCAGTTTTGTCAGTAATTAAGTACAAGTTTCCCAAGACATTTTTGTTTAGATGAAATAACAGAAAGAAGAGCTCTTATGTGGGTTATTTGTATAGATTATATAAATCACTGAGGTAATTGTGAGTTAATCTCTCTACTTTATTGCTATTACTATGTTATTCATTTAAAAATATATAGCTTTGATTAGTTTATTCCTTGCAGGCCCCTATATTGACAGCTGGTGCTATCTTGTAGAAACTGGGATCTTAAAGCAAGAATTAACATGGAAATGGTACTTACTATGGAATAAATTTAAAAAATTAAAAAAATAAAGAGTTCATTAGAATCTGTTCAGAAATTGTAGGTAAATGAATAGTCCGCCCCTAACCAGACCTTTGCTGAGGCATATTAGGAGATCAAAGTTTAGACAGATTCACAAAGTATATTAACACAAAATTCTTTCCAATGATTTTTTTGCATTTTGAAAAGAAACTTTTGAAAAACAGTTGAGTGTGTGAATTTTTTCCTTTCAGAGTACATTTTAAAATTTAATCATGTGTAGCCAGAGATATAATTTGCAGGAAGAATTTGGTAGATTAATGTAGTTATAATAAGAGACTAAAGTTAACCTTGTAAGATGCAGTTCTTGGTAATTTTTGAATGTATTTTGAAACATTCCTGAAAGTTAATATGCTTTCATTACTACTAATATTAATAATGACTGTTGAATTAATATGTGATTCACTACTAATATTTAATATATTTTTTCAGATATTAATTCACTGTCATACATTCTATGAACTGACGTAAGAAAATCATCCAAATAAATTAGAGACCTGGTAAAGTGGGACATATTGATTTTGTACTTAGAAAAGTAAAACATCTTATTAATTTTATGATTTAGCCTCTCTAAACTGCTTGAGAAATTATATTTTATAAATTTAAATATAAATTTAAAATTAGATTTAGGCATTAAATTTAGATTTTAATTAAACATTAATACCACATGAGAACAGAGTTAATTTTATTGTCAAGGTGACGTACATGGGGTTACAGTTACATATGTAATGTAGTGAGTACACTTATTGTCAAACTTCTTACCCCCTCCCTTACTTTTCTTCCATTTTCTGCAATCTGTTTTTTATATTTAACATTTTATTAGGGAAAAATGTCTAAGATAGTAGTCGTGTACTAGAGCAATATAAGATGTACAATAATATTGAAAATAAGTGATAAATGCTAGTAATGCAGGTCAGAATATATTTTAGACATGTTAACTAAAAGAGTCCTGATGAGCTAATCATGTTCATTTAAAAGCATAATCAACTCTATAGTAAGACCTTAAAAGAAAGGCAGGAATTTATTAGCTTGAAATGGTATCATTAACTTAAAAAAATAAAAAGGTACATTTTAAAGAGCTAAAGTAGCTTATTTTAAACTTTTATATTAGGAAAAAAATACAAGGGACTTATATGCTAACTACTATAGTTATTTCTTCCCTTGAAGTAAACATGATTGTAAAATTGGTATGTATCCTTTTTTTTTTTTTTTTAAGTATTTCTTTATTTTATTGTTGATCATGGGTCTTGAACTCTGGGCATAGGTGCTGTCCTTCAACTCTTCAGCTCAAGGCTAGTGCTGTACCACTTGAGCCACAGTACCACTTCTGGTTTTCTAGTGGTTAATTGGAGATAAGAGTCTGTCTTTGAACCGCGATCCTCGGATGAGAGCCTCCTGAGTAGCTAAGATTGCAGGCATTAGCCACCAGCACCCAGCTTTTTCTTTGTTTTTATATTTGAATGTAGATGTAAATCTACATTAAATGCTGAATGTTTAGACATGATATGTTTAGAGATTTATCTTTTTTTTAAATTGACAAATAGTTGTCAGTGGAGATGTGTCCCAAGTGGAAATATGTATAGCTTTATCTCATTTAACAGATACAATAGCTCATCTCTTTTATAAGACTGCACTGATTATCATATTTTAGTTTCATATATATATATATATCATAACCATGTTATGTAACATCATTGTTAGGATGTTTGGACTTGAGAAATATGTTGGGTTAAATTTGTCTTCTTTACAATTTAGGAAATCCTTGCACGAGGAATTCTTCTTCCATTAATAAATCAACTCAGTGATCCTGATTATATTAATCAGTATGTTATATGGATGGTAAGTAGTTTCCTTTTAAAGTTCCAACTCTTTTTTGAAAGTATGGTTAATGTAAAAATTCAGTTTGGTGATCAGAAGGTCAAGCAACAATTTATAAGCAACTATATACATATACATGTATACACATACACACACATACATTTCCAATATATCTTCTTGTTGAATGTGCTATCTAAATTTTCCACAAGACGTTCATTGGTTATCTTCCTTCCTGTCTGGGTACTTGCACTATTTAAAAATAGACTATTTTACTTCCTGTGTTCACAGATACTGTGTACTGAGCCTCAGATTACACTCCTTCGCATATAAAACAGCAATATATATAGTCCAAAAATCTATGAGAACACCAGAAAGCAGTTATGAAATGTTGGTTCCCCGGCAGTCTTTAAGCCAAGCCAAGTATACCTGCATTGAAACTAGTAAGGAAAGCTATTTCATTTCAGTTGTGTCAGCTTATTTCACTAAGGTGGCACCAGTGACTACTGATCAGAAGGGAAACTCCAACTTGTAGCTTGTCTGCTCTGGCTTTTCAGGGGTGTGCCCAAAGGACTGGTTTCTCTCTCTTCTGATTTAGGACTGCTGATGAGAAGAAACAGGTGTACTTTGGGGTGCCTGAGACCACAGAGGACAGAAAAAAGTTTAATAGCTTGTGGTAGTGTCAGAGAACCTGAAATACTTCAGAGAGAAGCAAATAAACCTCACTGTGTTTGGTCAGCTCTTGACTTCTGGCATGAGAGGGAAAGACAAGTAGAACTTTGTTCTAGTACTTTGGGTCTTCATGTGGAGGATTCCTTAGGTAGTGTTTTCTATCTCTTTTGAATTGGGAAACTGTTGAAAATACCTTGAATGCCTGAGTTCTACCAAGAACACAGGAACTCAGCAGTTTCATTTTTGTTTTTGCAATACTTCTACAGACAAGACATGTGAAGGAGCAAGGATGATCAGCTCCTAGAAAAGAAACTCAAAGGGAAATTACACACAGAATCCCAGAAAAGGTACAATCCTAAAAAAGGTTGGAGCCATGCCTAGATTTGTACCCAGGCTGATTAGTGAAGATCTTTGTCTGGGTGAAACAGCTTTGTAAAATCTGTTTTTTCAAGTGTAAAAATTACAAGAAAACAGAAAGTGAACAAAAAGGCCAAATACAGGCATTTACTTAAGGCTAGTTAAGGGTAAACCTTTGTGAGACTCCATGTCAACCAACAAGCCATGTGTGGTTCACATCTGAGAGGATAACAGTCTGAGGCTAGTCCTGGGCAAGTATGCAAAAAGCAAAATAAAGCAGTGGGGGTTTTAGAGTAAAAGTCTGGGCTGTGGAGAGAGAGAGCAAGAGAAAGAGGGAGGGAGGGAGGGAAAGGGGAAAAGGGAGGAGAGGGAGTAGGGGGGACAAAGAAGGGGAGAGGAAGGAGAAGATTTGGAAAGGGAGAGAAATGTGAGAGAGAGAATGAACTTAAGAAGCCCTGAGTTTAGATCCTGGTACCTTCACTAGAAACAAAATATGGCAGGGGAGATAAAAAGAGAGAGGGGGAAAAAGAGGGAAAAAAAGAGTGAAGGCAGAAGGGAGGGAATGAAGGAAAGAGTGAACCAAATAATTATCTTGGGACTAATCTATGGAAACCTTAAACTAAAAACAGATAAATGTAATCAAGAGAATGATCATGAATAAAATTGAGAATATCAATAAAGAAATAAAAGAATAAAAGAATCCAAATTCTGGAACAGAAAAATATAATTTAAAATTCACTAGAGTAGATCAGTAATAGTCTTGACTAAGAGTAAATCAGTGAACTTGAACATTGCCTTTTTTAAATTATTTAATTACAGCAGCAAAAAATATAGGTATTAAGTGAAGAAATTAAAGTTTAAGAAACAGAAAAAGATATCCTAATGTGAAATAATATGTGTATTATTAGAATCCTAGAATAAGTTATGAGTAGAATGTGTAGGCAGTTGTTCCACTGGGCTTAAATTTCTCACATCTAAGGAAGGAAATGTAGGAAAATATACATTCAAATTCAAAAATTCAAAGAGCTATCTAGGATAAAGCCAAAGATGACCATAAGCCAAAGAATTTTGAAAGCAACGAGAAAAAAAAATTCTCTTGTTAAGTAGCACTTAAAAGACTGTCAGCAGATAAAACATGAAGAAAATATATAGGGAAAGTATTCGGCATTTGACTGATTTCTTGACTTGATACCCAAAACTGGTGCAGCACATGCAAAAATAGACAGTAGGTAGAGGCTAAAAAGCTATCTGCAAAGAAAACTGTAACCAGAATGTTGAAAAGGAAACCAACCTGTGGAACTGGAGAAAGTATTTGTAAGCCATATAACTGACTATGAATGAATATTCAGCACATATAAAGAACTAGAAGTTGAACAAGAGTGCAGAAAAACCATCAGTTTTTAAAGTGGCCCATTCTTGAAGAGAAGTTTTTCATAATTAATTTACTTTCTTATCTTAAATTTATATTTTTATGTCTAATTTTGGAAACTCATGTTCTTTGCTGTTGATCTCTTATATAAATATTGTACTTGGCCGGGCGCTGGTGGCTCACGCCTGTAATCCTAGCTACTCAGGAGGCTGAGATCTGAGGATTGTGGTTCAAAACCAGCCCGGGCAGGAGAGACCTTGAGACTCCTATCTCCAGTAAACCACCAGAAAACCGGAAGTGGTGCTGTAGCTCAAGTGGTAGAGCGCTCGCCT